AATGTGTTGAGTGAGATTCGGGTAACTCCAGGAGGAGTTGATAAGAATGCTGAAGAAGACGGTGTGGTTATGTTGAATGATTTAATTGGTGGGCCTATCTCTTTTACCTCCTTAGAGACTTGCCCTGAATGTATCTGTCCATAAGCGCAATACAACCCACATTACGCCGATGCTCAAGGGCATCGAAAGTTCTTGACACAATATCGTGGCTCGTGACCTCTTGAGTCTTTTAGTATATGCAATCGACATCCTCCAAGCATGATTTGGAGACTTAAAAAGAGGTGGGAAAGGAGATAAGGAAAGTTCGCAGCCTAGTACGTGGTTTGCCCGATCGGTAAAATGCGCCTTTATCGACTGGACACTCAGTATATCTACCGGCAAGTATGTTCTTCCGAGTTTAGAGTTGAACCCACGAATACCGGCTTGGTAGTCGTGACTCTTGTGTATTCGGCTATGTGGCAGCAAGCTAAACAATGGATTTTCAAATACTTCAGTATTCCCTATAGATTGACGAGGAGATGGGAAACGAATAAGTTTAAAAGTTAATTCATCTTCAAATAAAATGTGTCGCTTTATATTATTGTTCGTTTGTATTTAAAGCCTAAATGTCTTTTTTAATAATATAATACTTCAATAATATAATAATAATAACAATTTTTTACTGCTAACCGATATGCCTTTAAAGGTGTCGATAAGCAAAATTATCAGCATTTTTTCTTATCTCTCAAGTTATTATTTATGACGATGACATTGATTTTGGCTACACGATCTGTACGGTTGCATCTACAGCTCGCTCTTCTTAACAGCAAAGTTTATGGCAAGTATTTTTTTGTTTACAGGCTAACATTGCGAAAAACACACACAAATACCGTCACAGATAACGACAAAAACAGAGACAGAAGGATAGAAGTGTCTGGGTTAAGTGTCAATGACAACAGAGTTACTGTACAAAAATGCAAACGCAAAAAAAAAAAAATTTAGCATAACGTTCATTTTTATCAGATGTACAATACGCTCATAGACGGATTCATTTACCTACGAATGCAAGTATACATGCATATTATGAACTTATCAGAGTGTATCCACTGTCCACTAGCAGACATCGACGACATTTTAATAAACAATCGACGTCAAATGTGTTAATTGGAAAATGACTATGAATTATGATTGTAATTTTCTGATATATTATGTTTTTGTGTGTGTGAGCGTGCGCGTAGAAGAGTGCCTTTTCATGTAAGCATGAGATTTGCTATATGCTTGCATATCTACGCTTTATTACACTCACTTGATAGCATTAAATTGCTGCAAATGTATCTAAAGTGTGCGCAGACTGTATGCGTAGAGTAGTAGCAGGCAACCACACGTAGAAGGCAATCATTTGTAAACTGGTAACAAACTTTGCAACACATTTTTAAAGTGCAAAGTAATTATAGTTTTAATAATAACAACAATAATATTATATACGCGTGATACGAGTATGTATTGGCATACGTGCGATGAATTTTAAACATGTATTCATGTTCATAATTAAAAATTACAAAAATATTTTATCAGAAAATTGATAAATCTTAATTATGCAAATAAATACAAATACTTACATATGCATGCGCACAAACGCACTCCTTCGCATTCGTATTTATCATGAGAATTTCAATTGAATTTCAATTAAATACAATGCAAGTCCGTATATATGTCCGTATATATATATACATATATATATATATATATATATATATATATATATATATATATATATA